CCCTAGTACCCATCTTTCTAGCATCTTTTCTATTATCTCCTACTAACCACAACTCAGAACTATCAGTCTCAGTTCAGACTACCAATCCAGATGGCCCAGTATAGTATACTTCTATATCCTTTTCCTCTGGCGAACCTGGCAGCCTGATTGGTTATGTGCTCCTTTATACATATTTGCTATCTGGTTTTAATCTTCAGTTCCTATGAAGGTGTTTCATAGGCTTCAACCAGTCTGATGGTACTGTCGAAAGTTTATGCTACCTCTTTACTCAGGAATTTCCAAGTGGGTTTTTATCACTTCAGTTCCTTAGTCTTCTACACCCAGTGGTCTTATCATGGGTTTGCACTGAAGTCTTATGCAACACCATTAAACATTCTTCTATGTACATGTAACGTTACACTTCGCATAGATGCCTGAGCTCCCAATGTCAGGAGAACCCAACTTGGTGTACCTGGGTAACAGCCACATGAGGCCAACTGATCGACAGAAGACAGTTACTATAACGCAAATATAATTTTTAAATTTCATCATAGATGGGATTTGAACCTTAGACCTGCCACTTGGAAGATGACAACCCAACCACTACACTAAAATCACCATCCTCTCTATTTCTTTACCTTTATATAATGTTAATATAGTGTTAATAATATAATTATTTATAAATATAATAAAATAAAATCCACAAATATTATTACTTTTTTCCTTTTTATCATTTTCATTACTTTTATATAATTTCGATATAATGTCTGCAACTGTATTTATCCATCCAATATTATTAATTGCATTATTAGAATAGTATTCCAAAAAAAGTGCCAGCATAGTATGATCTTAGATCAAATAAGTGAAGTGTTAATATTTGGAGTGTATAGTGTAATTAGTACAATTTCAAATATATAAACCTGACCAAAAAAAATATTAAGGCATATAAACTAATTCTCCAAAAAATAAAATATCATTTATAAGTTTATATTCCTTCACTTTAATAAGAATGCTCAATAAATCAAAGCAAATATCTAATAACTGCCAAGCAGATGAATGTAACCTAATAAATCTTAATATTATTTTTTGAGTTTCTTTAATGATATCATTGAATTTTAATTTTTTACTTTTATTAAGGAATTGTTCAACCAGTTTGAGGTAAGCTAAAATTCCAAGTGCTTGGCAAGAATATTTTGTTATCTTTATAATTTTATAATCTTTTTTTTTTTTTTTTTTTTTTTGAATTCCCACTGCCTGGTCGCTAGTGGGCCGCAGTTGGTGGCTATTTTATTAGTTC